GAGAGAGAGAGAGAGAGAGAGAGAGAGTGTGGGGAGGGGGAGGTAAGAGACCTTTTACTACCTCATTTCTTATTTTGTATTTTGTTTTTTGAACAATAAATGTTTTCATTATTTTCAAAATGAGTGGTCATTCTGAATGCATGAACAAATGAATGAATGAAAACAATGTGAAACAAGTAAAAGATGCAAGTAACACAAGTTTCTCTCTGTATTCTCAGAGAACTATAGCATGAAATGCCGCGCACTGGGCAGGCAAAATGACACGATGAGGGCATAATTGCCGCGCTCCGTAAAAAAAATACCGCGGTCACGGCACCATGCCGCACTGCGGGCTATCGAGAGGCATTGCGGTTTGACCTGGTCCCGGCACACAAATCAAGGGAGATCACTGCAATAGCATCCAAACCACAGAATTCTACACTTAGTGCACAGAATTCTACACTTCTAAGTGTAGAATTCTGTGACTTAGTGTAGAATCTAAACTCCTTGGGTGCAGCCACTTGACCTCATAAAACTGCCGCGGTCTGGCACATTGACTCTAGATATATCTAGATCTACTAGATTCTAGATCTACTTCTCTCTAAATTTGTGATTTTGATAGCTTTTCAAGCAAATATTATATGTGTCACGACGTGGTGGAATCAGGCGTTCGTAAATTTTTCAGCATGTTGAGTTATTAATATCAGCTAAAAAGCTTAATTATTCATTTGACTTTATAATTGCTTTCAATGACAAAAAATATCCATCTAGTCTATATCTAGATCTAGCTTGAATAGAAGTCGAGATATTTACAATAATTGAAGAAGGTGGGATAGCCTGGTTTTAGTAGTTAAATTAATGAGAAAATGGCCGACAAAGTTTGGTAACTTCAATAGCTTACGAGTCTTTGAAAACTAAAAACTACATATTTTGGGCCTTTAAACAAAGTTTTTCAGTAAAATTCCCATGGAAATGTGTTTTCATATAATATGAACATAAAAGGTGTTTAGCGAAACGAAGTGTATACAGACCACAGAATTCTACACTTATAGAACGGGAACTGTACCATATGCCATATATATGTGACCTGTGAGGAATTGAAGACCGAAAACAATGGCGTCTTGAGGGCACGATTTATCGTTTTCAGAAGTAACCCTATAGCTTTTAAAGCAAGAGCGGCTTTTACAAACAAGTGAAAAGTGGAACATTTACT